CTTAATTTTTTTCATTTAAAATTTTATATTTTTTTATTTTAGTATTTCTTTCTCTGTCTGTTAATTAATTAATTAATTAATTAATTAATTCGATGATTTTATTCGAATAAAATAGAATAGAATAATTCAGTGAACTGATAGATATTTTCTCTGTGAAGCGCAAATTACACATATCGCCCATTTTTGATTAACCGAAAAATATTGCAATTAAAATTTTGGAAATATTTCTTAAATTAATTAATAAATGATTACTAAATTATTACCATACATAACACTGATTGTGATGGCAAATGATCGAAACCGAATGGCGTTGTTCCATTCTGTATTCGCTCTTCCTTACCCTTTGTATACCAATAAAAATTACGATGAATTAGCCGACTTTCAGCTGATGCTGTAAAAAATATATTTTTTTGAAAATATTTCAATCAAAAAAAACTAAAATTATAAACTCTCTTTTCTTCAACAAATTTTACTAATTTTCAATTTAAGCATAACATCAAAATGCGGTAGGATAGGCAATTCTTTAAAAATTTTAAAGAGAGCAATTTGCTAAAATCATTCGATCGATATTTAATTAATTAATTAAACTAAATGAAATTGATTTTTTGATAGTTTGCTTTAGCGGAGTATATAAACGACTAAAGTTACTGTCAAATTAGATTTAATAATGTTCGATGCAATCGTATCAGTGAGAACTACCTAATCGCCTATTTAGAGATTTCATCTTTTTTCTCTACAGCATCTTTTGCATATCGGACTGGTATCAATTTAGCTAAACAGGTGATAGCGTAAGCTTTTTCCGACAATTTAATCTCTTACAAACATGCAATCATTCGACTACCCGACAATTAATCTGAATAGTTCTGGTGTTTCTCATATAACCATTCCACGTTTATTACTTATCTGGATGTAAAATCACTCATGTTTTCCGCAACAATATTACCTGATCAGGAAGTAGTCTATTCTTAATTATTTGCATACATCCGCAAATACTTAATCATATTCCACTTTAAATGTTCATTAGATTGTTTCAATATTATGCACTTAGAAATGAGATTAGTAAAGTTGAAAACAAACTTACAATTTGTTACTGGCATAAAATTCGCTCCAATAAAAATATTTAGCACTAAAAGAATAACGAAAATAACGAATGATGAAACCATTGGTGAAAATATCTAAAAAAACAATAAAATTTTGACAAATAATTGAAAGTCTACTCAATTACATATGAAAACATAAAAATGAGATTTTCCGAATCCGTTTTTTCATTTTTTTTTGTCTTTTCCGGTTTTCACATTTTTTTTTAAATTTTTAAATTTATTTGTCAATAATAATTCATTTATTAATCACTGATAAAATAATTTTGTAAGTGAAAAAACAAAAGGATTTCAGAAAAGTGCAAAAACATTTGTTAACATTTTGAAAGGAAAAGTGATGAGAATGATGCGTTTTAGAATGAATTGATGACATTAAGATGAATGAAAATGATAACTATGATTAGAATGATAACGATGTATATGAGAAGATGAATGGTCATTCTAATGGTCAAATCATTGTCGTTTGTTACAAGGATGAGTTTTAATGTCCAAATTCAATTAAAATTTATTGAAATGATGAATAATCAATTCATGCATTTAAAGATAACCAAATGGACAACGATAGTTAGTATATTGAATTTCTGAGATTAATTAATAGGAAATAATTTCTATTTCCTTTCGGATTATTAATACGGTTATTATTATTGCTGATCAATCATCAATATAACAAAGCTATCTTTTATTTAACATTCGAAGACAAATGTAAGATTGACCTTTAAACACTTAATTTTGATCTCTTACAATTAATTAATCAATGAGATAAACGAAATAAATAAATTTATTGTTAATTGCTTCGAATTCTATTTCTCTCGGTTAAATGTAATAAATGAAACAATTTAATAACCGTTATCCAATAATCCGGTTGTAATTTGCCATATAATTATATATGAAATTTCTTACAGAAAGATACTGTATTACGGATAATCGCATCAATCATATTGTTTATTGGAATAATATTATGCAATAAATGACAACTTTGGATAGTATAGTAAACAAAAATAAAAATAGAAAGTTTAAATTTTGGAATGAAATTAAAATTTGACAAAATTTCAGATGAAAAAAAGAGAAACAAAGAATTGAAAAGATAAAGAAATAAATGAAGAGATTTTATTTAAAATGAAAATTTATTTTTAACATATCTGTCATATAACGATGTAAGAGAATTTAAGAGGAATAAAACTCTTTCTCTTTCTCTTTCTCTCCCTCTCTCTCTCTCTCTCATCTCTTTCCATTATTTATTGCAAAATAAACGAAAGCATTAAATTTTTAGGTATAAAAATAAAATCATTTCAACATGTTTATTTGAAAGTAATTTTCTTTGAGATGTTACGCTTATTGTCTTATCATAATGATATTTAAGTCTTTTATTTTTGAGTTATTATTTGATAAATGCCATACTTCCACAAAATGATTCATTAATTTGCTATAGCATTGTGAAATAAAATTGATATAAACAATTCATTGTAATCCTCTCAGTTATTCTTATCCCACATTCATCCAACACTATTACTTATCTTTTTCTTTGTACAATAATAATAAAAACAATTTGCAATAATCATTGTTAATTGTTATTGCAAATAATAACAAATAAAATTCTAATTACGGTAAACAATAAATAATAATAACAATTGACTATTATTATTGTCGATTGTTACTATAATTGTTGTTAATTGTTATTGCAAATAATAACAAATAAAACAGCAATTACAGCAAACAATAATTGCATATTTAAAAGTCTAAAGAAATGATAATAAAAATAGCAATAAAAACAAAAATGATAACAAGAAGACAACAATGATAATAGTAATGATAATAAAAGTGATAATGAGAAAATTTCTTCCAAAATTTCTCGTAATGATTACCGTTTCAAATTAAAAAATGAATACCTACTGGGAAAAAACAAAAAGAAAAAAATTATCTACCTTTTTTCTTCAATGTATTTTAACTGTCGACAGACGACGATAAGCTATTAGCAATGTTTCATCCCATTAACACAACAAACTTTGCTAGAGTATTTTGAATTCTTCTCAGAATGATAGAATAGAAGAGAAAAGAAGAAATCAATTATCATTTACAACAACAGATAACAAAAAGTTTCTTTGTTAAGAAAAAGAATGAAATTATATTTTAACATGAAATAGTTCAAAGAATCAAAGAAAGATTTTAAAGAATAAAAGAGAGAAAAGACTAAGTGCATCATTGCCAGAGATTTCAAACTTTCTTTTCAAAGGAAACATTCCTATCATTTAAAAGATTTATCGAAGAAATTATAATGATGTTTTAAACTGCTCATTTTTTTTTCAACATTGCTGTGTTTAGTTGTTGCTTTTCAATTATTTATGTATATTGTTTGATTGGATCACTTTTGATCTTTATCAGTGTGATATCATTGAAATTAACCATCCATTTATATCATATCACCATTGAGTATCATAATTTTGGAACTCTTTGCATAAGAGAGATCTTGCAAATTTCATTTCTTTCAAAAATTTCATAACCATCGAATACAGTGTAACTCAACATTTTCAGGATAAAATGTAAATGTGATATATTGCATAAATGTGATATATTGCAAAATCTCATCACTATTTGAAATTTAACTTAAATTTATGAAATAATAAACCCCTCATAGTAAGATATTGTTACTGAGAAGATATTCAAATTTCATCGAATAAACAAAATAATGGGAAATTCATGAGATAAGAAATTGAATAAGCAAATATTGCAAATATAGAAGTGATTTTATCAGATGTTAAGACTTCCAGAATTTTTTTTAGAGCAATAACAGATTCGCCATGTGAGAACAAATTTATAATAAATTTGATAAAATTCAAAAATTTCGAGTGGAATCTCGGAATACTATGTATCTATACGTGTAACTTTCTCAAAACTTTTCATTATTTTTTATAATGCCTTGCTCGTCCATCTGCAAATAGTCCATTTCAAGCAAATACCAATCGATAATTGCAACCCACCGGGACAAAAACTCAAGCTCTACTGATAAGTGAATATCAGAAATAATAAAATGACATTGTATTTTATTATTTTTGTCACCCAAAGCTCATGTCTGATTTCAAAGTATTTTGAATTGATTACATACAAGTGATCATGCAAATTTACCAGTTTATCCAGAAGAGGTATTTTTCATATATCATAATAATTTCAACAATATGAAAACAACTGTCATTCCTAATCACTTCAAATAGCTCTAAATTTCATAAAAATCCCTAAAAATATGCATATCTCAATACTTCATTGATAAAAATAGGACGGATAAAACAGTCCTGAGCTTACAAAAATGTATCAGTTATTATTAACTTTTGTGTGTTTTCCTTATTATGTTCCTTACTTATTGAGTGTTCTAATCAACGCTCTGAAAAGGAAAGAATTCCAAGATAAGACATACCACATCATACAATAGCGAATAATAAAATAATAGTATTCACTAAACAACAACAACACTAAAAGTAAAAAATAAAAATTCCTTCCATCGAAATATTTTTGACAAACAATATACCGAAAGACGAACAAAATAGTTATTTAATACAACGAAACAATGAAAATTAAATATGTCCCTATAATATTTCATATGTTTAACACGAGCTGACACATAGATAATATATAACCAAAAAAACAAAGTTGGCTTTAAAAACTTTATATATACTAAAGCAACTGAAAAATGATTTTCAATGTGTTTATTTTCAAAAAGTGTACATGTCGAGTTGACTTCGTCAAAAATGCTGCATAAATTTTATCCCAATTTCAGATATTACAGTAAGTTCACTCAATTACTTCTGAGTCTTGGTGATCTTACGAAAAAGATCAAACTTTATATAAATTTGAAAATGCTTGGAAATGTACTTAATTGCGGAAGAAGTTATCTGATGAAAAACAATTTAGTAATTAATTAGTAGCAACAAATTCATTCACATCAATACAGGGTAAAACATTTTTCAAATGAGATAGCCGTTTATCAGATATTCCGTTAATAGATTTTCCAGGATAATCCACAGATGAAGTAGCATGCTTACCTCTGACACAATCATTTAGTAATGAATCGATATATTTCTTTCGCTCAATTTTATAGCCCCGACAGTACTCGAATTCTAGAGAAAAGATAAATAAATTTAAGTTGTGGATATTCAAAAACGAGGACTGATAGCATGCCAACAAGTACAAATTTGCGACAGCGGAACTCTTCATGAAATATCCATTTTATCCAAAAGGAAATAAAATTTATTAAACATACGTTCAATGGCACTATTAACATCCCAGCCATCGACTTCAATCAAGTATCGACAAATCATGTATCCCGTTCGATTCAAACCATGTGTACAGTGCACGCCAATTAATTCACCTCAATTTCAATTATTATATCATTTATGCACTCAAATATTCCTTTATTTTCCGAGTGACCAAAAGAATTTTCACAAGAGCATCGATTAAAAAGTATAAAGTTCTATGTACTTTGTGTCCTTTAACGACTGAAACAACCAGAGAGCAAGAAGTTAAAAAACAGAAAAATGATAAAATTTTCAATTCTGTTTCACAGCTGTTTAAGTGTATAAAGCTCTGTCATTGCAGAAAACCGGAAAATAATTTTTCTCGATGAATACACAAAAAAAATTATTTCAACAATCGTACAAATATGGGTAAATGCTTCATTCTAGCTATGCTGTAATAGAGCCATCACTCATATATCCATTAACAATCACTGTTGGCACTATTACATTATAGCTATAATCTATTGCACAATTACATTTTAAGAGCTATAACCTTCCACAGAATGTCACGAAATAAAATTGCATTTTTTACCAATATATTTGATAGTATCTTGTTTATTAAAAAATGAAAAACGAACCAGTGTAGATATGTTTGGATAGAAAATTATTGACAATGTCGTAAAATTTCTGAATGTTTTCCATTTGGGTATTTACGTGATGTCCCGCACACATTATTTTCTCATACTTAATACCGATATCAGTCCATTCACGTGAATCATAATATTTCTGAGTTGCTGTTAAATCAATAACAAGACCTATCTGCTTACCAGCAGCATTAGCCTGAAAAAAAAAGCAATTGTTATATATTGCTCACAAAACTTGTAACTTCGAAATTAAACAAATACTTGTTAATAGAAATTGCTTACTATTTTAATTAACTAGAGAAGTGATCTTCTTCTTGATCTTCTTCATTATTGCTAACCAATATCCTGTCTATCACTACTGATCAAAATGACAGGAAAAATAAGAGAAATGTGAAGTACGCCGTAAAACTTCCAATTCTGCTACTTTTTATCAAATTAATTCAATGTTGTTCACAGGATTTTGGGATATTTAAGTATGTACATTAGAAAATAACTTTCATACTAGAACTTACCATATCAAGTAAACTTCTCGTTTCAAAAATATTCTGCACATCAAATTCATCGCTACAATTCAAGAAATAATTGTGTCGCAAGGGCGTCTTGAAGGCAACAAACCGTGTTCCCGGCATATCTTTCCCCACTGGATCATAATCAATCCACCTAAGGTAAACATTACATCATATTTAATAATTACGGCAGGAAAAACAAATGCAAGGAGGAGGAACAGCAATTTACGTATTATATATTTCAACTATTTCAAATAAACATCAATTTCTGAAATTCACTGAATATGATAGGAGACGAAGAAGTGTATCACCTATCGGGAAATCTACACGAATTAAATGCGATCTGCTTTAAACGTCGTCTCTCGTTGCGCTGCAATTTATTCGTACGGGAGGCTCGTTGCGTCATGCTTGCCTTTTCAACGATTCTAAAAGTGCTTTTTGGTACAGCTATAGGAAGAAATCGAACGTCACCTAAATATAAGCCTAAATTCTTTAAATATATAATACTCATAAAAATGTCAAAAATCGAAACGCAATCATGAACCGGTCGAGATGAAATAATTTCGCAATGACTGTATCAATTTTAGTTCATTTCAACACTTTGTGGCATAATGTTTTCGTACCTTCCCACGAATTGACGGGCAGTTTGTCCGTCGTAGTGGATGGTATAAAGTTGTGTAACTTAGGGAGTTAGGCGGGTTATCAGTTAACAGATCTGTCAGCTTACTGAAGTGATCACTTTTTGAAGATCCGGTGCTTGTGATTTCTTTCATTTTCAAATATTTAAGTGCTTAGTTTGAATATCTATCTGAAGAAAGAAAATTTTGATTAAAATGCTTGGAATGCGTATTGCCTGAAAGATTAAAATGATCAAAATGCATATTGCCTGAAAAGCAATCATTCTGAATTTGGTTTTGAATCTCAAATTAGATGCTGTGTAAATTCTAGTTGGAAAGCCATCAAAAATTCGAAGAGTAACGATAATACAGTTTCGAAGGATAACAAACACAAAGATGAAAGTAAAAAATAAAAAAGTTTTTTAAATACTTTTTTAGAAGTTAAAATTTTGAAAAATTTTTACATATACTTCAATTGATTGTTTTGTGGAGTACAAGAGAAAAAATTAGCCCCTTAATTACATGAATATATGGGCCAGGTGAAACCAGCTCCAACAGCAGTTAGAAATGAAATAATTGTTGGGATTAGTACCCACGAATTTATCAATTTTTCTAGCTGGTGCATTATATGTTATTATCATAACGGAAATGTTTCAAATCTATTTCAGTATCTCATACTACACTAATTTGAAGTGTCAATAATTAATCATATTATCTGTTTTGAAATTTTTTTCTTTATAAATTAAAATTTCATGCTTTCAATTTACATCTCATTAAACAACAAAGCATACAATGGAAACACATGGAAAAGTATATATTTATATTTATATTTAGAGGATAAGTAGTATGGATGAAAGTACTTGAAAAAGAGTAAGGCCGAGAAACTCATTATGATATGCTAGGTGAGGCAAATATATAAATAACAAGTGGAAATAGTTCAGTAAATGTATGGATTAACAAGTGGAAAAGTAAATAAAATTGGAAATTAACTGCCACAAAATACATATTTTCGGTAGTAATAGGTCGATTAGGTTGTTTCAAATTTTTGTTCATTCCGCCAATAATGAAAAAGAACTTTTTTTAAATTGAGAAATTTAATTATATACATTTAATTTGCACCAAAAGCATATTCGTATGATTGGGTGAAAAAAGGAATGAAAGAAAAGCTAAATAGGCCATATTTCTTCTTTCATATTAATTTTGATAATGTCTTTTCGTCATTGTTAATATATAAATCGTTTGCATCATATCATATATATTTTTAAATGAGTATGGAATGACGGGTGGATGGTTATTATTTGAATAACCTTGACTTGGTCCCGATTAATTATGATTTAGTCCCGGTCCTATTGTGATATGTTGGGAGAAAAGAATGTTGTTGCTCTCTCCTACATCATATCAAAAACCTTATCTGACTATTTTACATTTTCTATTTTATTTCCAAATTGTCTCTAATTAACCGGGTATTTAATTGGTCAGTTTGAAACTGTCCGATATTTCGCGAAGAAAGTAACATTTCTGTAATATCTCTATAACAAGTAATATTTCTAACATTTCTTGTAGTGTCAATGAATAATTCCTAATGAATATATTTTCTTAGATAGCGCAATGTTTAGCAAATAAAACATTATTAATAAATTAATTAAAATTTGAAATTTTTGTTTTTTTAAATTATAAAGTATCGATTATGAATGGCGGAATTGTTGACACAATTTGAGATCATTTAAAGGGCGTTTTTGAGACTATCGCCGAAATTAATGTTCTTGGCGTTAGAGAAATCCTCGTTTGGTTTTCAATGTCTGATAATTTTTGAATTCTTTTTCTTGCAACTTCTGGATGCTGATCACTTCATGTCATTGATGATTGAGAAACCAATTACTTTTGCAATTTGGATTTCTTTTAAAGCAATTTCCGGATAATTTTAAGAATCATTGAGAAATTTGAGAATTAATCTTAAATGATGTGATTGTTTACATGAAATGAATAATATGCGCTTGAATTGTTCGCTTCAACAATAGAAAGGTGTAAGAAGTATTCGATTCCATGTTATTATTATGTAAGATTTGTAAGATTATTACAATTATACGATAAAGATAATTATAAGATTATGAGATAATTATAATAAGATTATAAGATAAGATTTTATGTAAGATTTGTAAGATTCAAGAATGACTACTGCTTATTAGATTTTTTGTCTCTTTTCTAGACATCGTTAATCGAAAATGCATAAACACTGAATTTCAACAAAACGAATGAAAAAAACAAACAAATAATTGTCAACAATTATTTGTTATTTTATGAAAATTTAACGAAATAAAATTTTTCTACAAAGAAAGAAACAAATAAAAGACTTTTTCATGTAAGCCTGTTTAAATAGGCAAAATTGTGTAAGCAAAATTTTGTTAGTATCAAACTTGCGTGCCTTGTAACATTTTAATATTTTCCGTCTCCTTTAAAATTTCTGGCTGATTTAGAAATGAATTTATATCATTCCATTCTTTGTTCCTCCCTCTTTCATTGTCACATTCATTCACTAGCGCTTCTTATCACCTTTATCATCAATTAATGCTGCAATATTGCAGACAATAATGAATTCAAAAATGGTTGTTAATTTTATCCCTCTTCTTGGAATATTTTCAAACCTGTTTCTGCGCTACAATATACGCTATTACCCTTTCTGTTCATTACCATACTTTTCCATTCAAATTTCATAATAGTAATAGTAATAGTAATTATTAGTAATACTAGTAGTTGTAGTACTAGTAGTACCAGTAGTAGTGTCAGTAATGGTACTACTAGTATTAGTAGTATTAGTACTAGCAGTACCAGTAGTACTAGTAGTAGTACTAGTAATATCGGTAGTACTAGTCCTAATAGTACCGGTAGTACTAGTACTAATAGTATCGGTAGTACCAGTGCTAGTACTACTGGTACCAGTAGTACTAGTACAGTAGTACCAACAGTACCAGTAGTACCAGTAGCTAGGAGTTAATACTAGGAGTACCAGTAGCATTAGTACTAGTAGTACCAGTAGTATCAGTGGTAATACTAGTAGTTCTCGTAATATCTGTAATAGTGCTAGTAGTGGTGGTAATAATTGTAATGTTGATAACTACATCCCTTTGTACAGCACAATATAGCGTGTCAGTGACATACATACACATTCACACATTCACATGCACATACAAGCATGTATATATCCAAAATGTCACATACAAACATACATAGACATACAAATAACCGACAGATACAGTAGAGACGGTCAGTCATCCTAGCAAATCCTATCGTCACTGTCTGTCCACTTTATCCGATGGTCATATTCTCCTCATCCTTTCTGTCATCACTATCGTCGTCATCGTCGTCATCGTCATCATTTTCCATCTCCGCAATTATCATTTTTATCACTACTATTCCACTGTTTCATTTTTAGATAATTTATTTGAATGAGTTATTTTATCGTATCGATTTAATTCTAATTTTAAACGCATATTATTGAATGTTTTCAAAACAAACTCATATTTTAGTGTAATAGTGATACCAATAGGACAAAAAGTACTTATTCTATTTAAGTGAAATTGAAAAAGATCGAAGTTAAAGATAAATTAGTTCTAAATTAAAATTCGCTTATATGAAAATACAAATAGTTTATTTCTTTTCTTCCTTACGTATTGTTGCCAGTTTGTGAGATAAATTGTTGAAAATTTGGATGTGATCGATTGGAATTATTAAGAAAGTGAGAAACTTTCAATTTTTTTTCCCTTTAAAAGCAGAAAATTTTTATTTCGGTTTAGAAATATTCAATTTTAGCCCCCAAATTCTCTTTGAAAAATCATTTATAATGGCTTTTTTTTAGTTTGGCGAATTTAGAAAAAATGGAACAGAAACCCAATTTTTATTTTTCTTAATTTTTCAATTAACACTTTTGTAGGAGCACAAAAATTCGGCAGTATCTAAAAACATTTCGATGAAAGGCGACTTAGCTTCAAATCAAATTTCACATTAATTCCAAAATTTATTCCATTTCATCATTTTTTTTTTCTTTAATGTCAACCGAAACGATTTACATAAAGCTTTAAGCGTAATAATTAGCGTATGAATGAGGCGAAGATATGTTGAATTTAGGTTATGAATGGATGAATTTATTTTATAAGTCCTTGAGAAAGAGATTACATATAGTTTTGAACTATACTAAAACTGTTTCCTTTTAGCAATGTTTAAAATGAAATTTTGATATTAATAATTTTCCATTAATTATTAATGTGTATTTGCATTTATAACATTTAACAATACTTCTAAAAGTATTAAAATTTTGCATTAAATGTTCAAAAAGAGGAAATTTTTGTTAAGGAAATGGGAAATGTCAAATTTTCATCGACAAATAGTTTGAAATTATGCAAATTTTCACATTTCATCAATAAGTATAATTTTATTTCTTTTTGTTTGCAAATTTATCTAAGGAATAACTCGACGATATCTTTTTCAGATAATTTTTACTATGAATGCTTTCTATTATTATCGAACTACTAATAGAACCATCGATGCTATAACGAATTTCTATTTTTTTAACTAATTTAATCTAATAGGCTGTTTCTTCTTTTCTTTCACAATAATTTTCCATCTTATCTTCCTTTCATATTTTTTCTCTTTAATTAATTTATTGCAAATAATAGTAGTGACGGATTAATAACAATAGTGAGAACAATACTAGCATAATAATAACAATAGTAATTAATAATAAATAACAATAAATAATAGTGAAAGCAATAGACTTCCTCTTAGTGGCATATAATTTTAGTTATATCATTCTATATTGTTTGAATAAAAAGAAGGAATTTTTTCAATTAAAAAAAGTTCCATTTACAATGTATCAAACATACATTACATTTCATGTCTCTTATAATATTTTCATCTTTGCCTGATAAATAGAAATAAAATTCAATTGGCGATGTTTTCCAAGTTTACTTTTGACAAATGAGTCATTGATAACAATATTGATCGTTAATTTTATTATTATTATTTCATATATAACAATATTTTTCTTGTCAGTTTATTGCTTTAGATGAATTCATTTTAATCGTTTCCTAGATTTTTATTCTCTAATGATGCGCTATCAGTCATTTCTTTCGTTTTCCGATAATTTCCAATGAGTAAAACAATTTTGATTATTTACTGCAATATCGATATCATTTTAGATTTCTGCTATTTTAAATTTAAGCAATAATATTGGTAGGATAGTAAATTTTCGAATTCTCTCTTCATTTTAATCCAATAACGAAATGAATGTTTTAGCTAAAAATTTCATTTTCGATCTCAAGTACCATTTCAATGCACACAACACAATTATTGGAATATTATCCGCGGGATTCACGTATCGATGAATTCGTTGATAGTTCTATAACTGTTGCTAAACGATCAAATGCTTGGAAACAATTTAATTCTGATAGCAATATTCGTCAGCGAGTTAACAAGAAGAGTGATAATTCCGAAGCAGATGTGATACAATCATTATCATCAGTTGATTCAACAACTATAAATGATGATACTTTTTCATCAACTGATCAATCAGACAATTTTCAATTACGACTAAAACAGAATTTAAAAAATTTAAGGCAGTCACAATTTTTTGAGATATTCTATAAATGGTGTTGTTATGGTGTCTACTTACTATGGTTTAGTATTGGTATTTTGGCAATTCGGAAAACTCTAAATGCTACAGCAGCGGTACGATATGTTAAAGAACACGGTCACACAGTATCAGAAGAAGCTATTGCTAGTTCGAGTACTTTTCAAAAATTATTATGGTCATTAGATCATGAATTCCGAAAACCACCAGCTATTTTCCTTCTTAATCAGCATGCTCTCAATATGACTTTTAATTTTCTGTGTAATACATGTGATATGAATGGTGTTCATGAAAGGTTAGTTCCTTATTTACCTATTCTGTCAAAATTAGTCTACTCCATTAACCAATCATTGCGAATTAATCGATATTGTCATCTTTAAACATTTATCCATCTATCAACATAAATGCTGAAAGTTTTGTCCAGTAATATTAATTGTATAAATTATCCTAATTTTCTTCTAAATTTTTTTTTCGTTGAAAATTTTCTCTTAGCTAATCTAAAAATTTTCAGGCTAATTTTTGTCACATTGGATGAAGTAGCAAGAGATGTGTTAAATGAATACTGGCCTAATGTAAGGCAAGTATATTGGCCAACACCAAGTTTATATGTAAGTTATATATATAAGTTATAATTTTATTATTTTCTCTTTAAAATCTATATCTCATTAGAATTCATACAAATCTTTCTGAAAGATACATCAACTTCTAAACTAATGAATGAAATGCAATATTTTTATTCTTTGAAAATTTTTATTTATTTTTTATTTTATATTATATTGGACAAATCGATTGTTATTCATTTATTAAAAGTTTTAGAAGTAAAACTTTTGTTTAGAATTAAATATTATAATGATTAATTCAAAATTAAATGAAATTAATCAAAAATCAATTCTTTCTTACCACCTGAATCTAACAGTTAACACATAAAGATGATTCATACCAATATTATATTATATTATATAATAAATTGTCACAAAAATAAAGATTTTTGGGAGATGAATTAAACTTTAAATTAAAATAAAATATAGAACAAAATTATTTTTGAATAAATTCCAATAAAATAGGAATAAATTTTTGTACAAAAAATATATTAATTATAAGTGAGAGTAATTAATTAAATTAAGTGAAAATTTCAGAAACCATTCAGTTTTGCGGAAGGTGCCTATCAGACATTATATTTATTGCGTGCTAATATGGCTGCATTTTTGTTAAAAAATGGTAAATCATTTTGGATGATGCAACAGGACACATTTTGGCTTAAAAATATTTTTGATTTGGGTTTTGAAGAGAATTACGAATATGATGCAATCTTTGATCAGATCGGGTTTGATAATGTTTCGCAACGAGCGGAATGGATCAATGGTTTGTTTGTCTACTCTTTATATTGTGTTTTATTATATGAATTTCGATTTGCAATCTGTATTTTATTTTAAACTTTATTATTTCAAATGTTATCTGATATTTTCTAATACTAAATTTTATTCAACCTTGTCCTAATTTAAATACGATAAGATTTGATAAAAAAGTTTTTTTCCATTTTTTTTAAGAGATGAAAAGATAAGATAATTTAGTTGTTGCATGATATGAATGAGAATATAGAAATTGCCTATGACCTCATGTTTTCAGTCATTTAAAATGGAATAGGAAAGGGAGCAATTAATTTTTTGCAAACAGAATGATCATTAATGGTTTAATAGATGGAAATTAGGAAAGCACAACAAGGGCAAGCACGTAGAAAATGATTTATGTATATGACAACCGGTAGAAAATGACACATATATATGACAACCGGTAGAAAATGACGCATATATATATATGACATATACCGAATTGATTGCAAATAATAGGCATAGAATTATCTTTTTGATTATTTTTAAATTTATTTTTCCCAAAGAAAAAATATGCAAACAATTTCTTATTTGTTTTTCTAAATGAAAAGAAAAAATAAATTAATGATGACTTAACTGATAAGTAAATAGTTAGCATAATAATAAAAATAATAATAAACTTCATCTATTAGAATTCCGGTAGTAACCAACATAACATTACACTATCATCGGGAAAAAACATCTTATATTTAGTATGAATGGAAATGCGAGAAATGAAACTGCTTGAGATAATCAATTAAACTAAGAAAGATAGTTTGAGTACGTCGAACAAATTAATCTGAAATTTCAGAGATCAAATTTTTTTCTTTGCAAAAAGTAATTTTTGCTTTTTCTAATTGCGAACAAAAACAAATGACATCACTAATTACGAATAATTAGTGATGTCATTTGTTTCTTTCTTTTTTTGAGAAAAGAAACTGTTCGTTTAAAAAATGACAACTAAAATATTTTTTTTGTTCACTTTGATTTATTAGCTAATCATAAAATTACAAAAAGATTTTTCATTGATCAAATTTCTTCTCTTCCATCCAGCCGTTCATTAGTATTAAACCTTTCATCCCAATTTCATCTTTTTTATTATTCAAAATTTCATTTAATTAGATTTTAAAAAATGATTAATTTAAAAGAAATGTTTAATTTCAAATTAAAAATAAGACAGAAAGGAAATTATTAAAATCCTAAAATATGTTGGCTGTCACGAAGAAATTTTCATTATCGAATGTTAAACGAGCAGAATTCCCGAATTTATGTTTTTGAAAATTGAATTACAATTCATAAAGAAAGTTTTGTTTGGAAAAATTATCTTTTTCGTCGCAATATTAATAACTTTTCTATTTTTTAAAATTTGTTTACTTTTCAAAGTTAAACACTTATTTTTAATTTAAAATTTAAAATTCAAAATTTTGTTTATTTAAAATTTGCTTTGCTTTTCAAAATTAAAACGTTCAAAAAGAAAGGAACAAAAGTTTTTTGCTATGAACTGTAAATTCATTTCGAGAAAAGAATTTTTTCCTCTTCCTTCTTTTTTCAAATTATCATACTATGAAATTTTAGAATTGAAATTTAAATTCACATTTTAGGCATTATTTGTTCAAATGTAAATAAATATTTTAGAAAAACAAAGGACGAAAATATCTATCAACAATTATCATCATTTAATAATTACTAATCAATGAGCATTCTTTTCATTTTTTTTATCTTTCATATATTATCGATTTATTCTTACTGCTTAGTGTTTATTATCATTGTAATGTGATAGGTTATTTTGTGGAAAGTTAGGCTTCCTTTAATCTTACTTCAATCTATCTTAATTATTCTCATTTATAGGTGCAAATTTTTTCGTACATGCAAATAATAACACAGTGAAGTTTTTCGAAGCTGTAGCTCGTAAATTAGCCCATTGGTATACGCCGGATATGGGTATTATGATACATCAGTGTCATACATGGAAAGAACCAAATTGTAACTATATACCTCATAAGTAAGTATGGTATAAATATCAATAGTAAGTAAATAAATAATAAATATTAGCTACATTTTGATATACCGTTGCATTATGATTAGATTAATAAAAATCGCGATGAACGAATCGCGGATATAGATAAGATCGGACGAAATTTTATTTTTTGTACTATCTTCATTTTTAGTGCATTAACATAATGGTATATCAATATTGAATTTCATTTGTTGCTTTAAATGACTCCTCGATTTATTTGTATATCAGTAAAAATCAATTATTTCTCTTAGGAAATTTATTTAACATTGTTAAAATGTTGCATTTCAGGATTGCAAATTCTTGGGAATGGATGTATACCGATCAGAAAAATCCACCATACATTCTTCAGTTGGATTGTGAAACAGATGGCAGTTCTAAACTAATGCAATTAGCCAAATTTGGATTTTATTTTATGAACACCGATAATCATAGGGTATATTATATGATTTACTATTTCAAACAATTGCAAATATAATTTTCATTTTCACTTAAGATTTTGTAGTAATCAAATTGAAATTGAAAACTACTATCATTTCATTTATCAAATTTTTTACGATTATATGTTGTTTTTAAATAATTGCGCCTTATGTCTTATTGACAAAGAGAGCGAGATGAAGAGAGAAAGAGAGATTTAAATTAATCAAATTATCTTAAAAGGTTTTTTTCGTCACTTGATAGTAGTGAAATATTCATGAATGAAGATATCGAAATTAATATAATGATTAGACTGAAATTAAATTAATATAATGAATGATAAGTAATCTTTCTTATCTGTGCATATTATTGATAAGCAAATCATTTCAACTTTTTTAAGATATGTAATCAAACAGCAGTAAATTACGCGAGAAAACGAATGGAAGATGGTAAAATTGAAGTAGCGAGGACACCACTTAGTTGGAGTCGTTTTCAATTTAAAGTATATTGGTGGATTGTTGACCATATGCTTAGTACACCAATTCTTGGAACATTGATAAAGCCTTATCTTCCACTCGTTGGTTTCATTATTATGATTACCATTTAACAAAAAAAAAGGAAGAAGTTAAGTAAAGAGAAAGAGAAGTGAGTATTAGTGATAATTTTTTAATTGAAATACGCTTTCGAAGTATATTATCAACTTTTATCACTAATGTACCGCTTCATAAACAAATTGTTAAATGGAATAGGTGTAATTTTTACATAAATTATTTTGTTATGTTAAGTGCTAAATTGCTATCACTATGATATCATTTTATTCATCAATGTGACAACAATTATGAAACTATTTTTTTAATTTACTCTAAAAATAAAGTTTTATGGTTGTTGTAAATTTTAAAACATTTAATTAAATTTAAGCGATCAGACAAAAGAAAAAAGCAGTTAACAGTAAAAATTTATTTATCGATTAGGCTAAATTTTATTTATTAATTAAGGCTGATATTTGATATGATAAAGCTAATTTTTGAAATGAATTATATTTCTTATATTTCAGCTTCAAATATTATTGTGTACTTTATTGATGAATTAGAAGAGTAAACAAATTGTTAACATTTTTTAATTTGAACAGTGATTTAAAAGCAAGCCAAACTTGGCTTATCAGATGTATTCGATAAGTTATATTTATCTATGTTATTTGAGACTATAACGGAATTTATAATTGTTAATTGTTATATATTCAAATGTGATTTGAGATAATCTTAAAGACAATAACAAAATGAATTTAAAAATTTATTTTTTTAACAAAGAGGAAGTCGAATATCGTTAGAATTAACCTTTTTCCTGATTTTCTACATTTTTTTGCATTTCTTTTCGAAATAAAAATTTCGTTTTCAATTAATATTTAATTTAATTCTTTTCGATTAGTAATTAATATTTAATTTAATTCTTTTCGATTAGTAATTAATATTTAATTTAATTCTTTTCGATTAGTGTTCTCTTTCAGTTGCATAATATTGAATGATTAGTGAAATATTGTTGAAATTCCTAAAATTATTTCAAAAAATATTGAAATTTTTGTTGGAAAGATATGGTGATATCATATTTGATAAAAATTTCGAAAAGCAAACCTCACATTATATACATATAAATTTATTGATTGAACTTTTCTTTTTTAAACTATAAAATGATACGAAGAGAAAAACAAAATTTATTATGAATTGGAATAAATTTAAAATAACTTATAGAAATGGAGAAAGTCTAAGTTAGATGTTTTTTTATGTGACAAAAATATTTTATTTGAAATGATAGGAATGAAATAGAGAGCTTCTCTTAGCTGTTAAATAGAGAGCTTTTCTTAGCTGTTAATAATTTCAAAATGATTAGAATTTTTATTTTCATGAGATTGCAATGGGATGAGTGAAAATGTAAGAAAACGAATTAATCCAAATAGTATTCTTTACAATTTGAAACCCTGGAGAATAGAGAAAAATAAAATTTGAAAGGTGGATTTATCTCATAAACCACGGATACATTTGTTGGAATGAAATTTTAGTATGACAAAAAAAGTTGGAATAAAAATAAAACCTTTTAAAAGGCATCATTTCATTTCACTTCCTTGAAATAATNATAAAATTTGAAAGGTGGATTTATCTCATAAACCACGGATACATTTGTTGGAATGAAATTTTAGTATGACAAAAAAAGTTGGAATAAAAATAAAACCTTTTAAAAGGCATCATTTCATTTCACTTCCTTGAAATAATTTTTAGAAAATTTTTCATTTCAATTTCTCTCATCCATTTGTGAATATTATTTTCCATCGGGCTTTTTCTCTTTTTCATTTATCCTTTCTATGCTTATCGAAAAACTTTTCGTTACTTTAAAATAAGAGAAAAGCGATAAATTCACTGTTAAAAGAAATAATTCAAAAATTGAATTTGAAATTGAAATTTGGAGAATTTAGAATTGAAGTATTTTTTTTTGGATTGCAATGTAATTGAGTGATTCGAGTTTTTCGATTTCAAATTTTCAATTACCAATCATTTCATTCTATTGGCATTTTAAACTGATTACATTCTTTAATCGATCTGTCAGCAATGACTCTTAAATATCTTTTTTTCTAATGGAAGATTTTATAATTCAATTCTTTATAATTTACTCATTTCATTTCAGTCAAAGGAATTAAGAGATCAATTAATGTAATAAACAATTTTAAATAACATAAATGAAGTAACATTAAGGTGGAGGAAGGTATAAACTATTTTATCATTTATTCCTTAAATTAGTTTTGAAAAAAAATGAAGCTTCTAAAAGACTCGATCTTCTTATTTGCTTAAAGCAAAATTTTATTTCAATATAAGCATTAATGAAAAATGAGTATCAGTTGATCCGGAAATATTTAGAGTATTAATGACATTATACCGGATAAACTGTTACGGAAAAAGAAAAAAAAGTATCCTTAGCATTAATAGCGTTTCATATTGAATAATAAATAATTGAATGAGCAGGTATTATTAATAAAACTTGCAATAGGATTATTTCAATTACCACAACACATTTTGATAAATGGATATTGATATGATATTGATATTGTTTGTGTACGCATCATCATATCATAATGACTTTATTAATTATTTTTGTAAATTACCTAGTTATTTAGAGTATTTATCATTTTATCCTTTTAAAACATTTGAATTATTCATTCAAATCATTCAAAAAAAATTATTTTAAAATACGAAGAAAATAATAGAATCCGTTTTACGGAAATGAAAACGGAAGAAATTTCTTGTCGATAATAACATATGTATTATTAAATTGTTTTTTGTCTTTGTATTTTAAAAATTTCGATAAGATCGGAGTAATGTTTAATGAAAAATGATTGAATTGAAATAAATTGCGCAACTAATCAGATAACACGTTATCTGATGTGAAAAGATTTTATCTTACGTAATCTTAAAATGAAACTGAAATTGTGGTTGTAGCATTTTTCTTTATAATTTATTGCAAATATTTTAGTTTAGAAAAAATTGTCGTAATTGATCAAACATGATTAAATTATTCCAAAGTATACCAAATGAAGAAAATGAGCGCTTCATGGAAGGCGGAAAATGTAGGGAATCAGCGCTTCATAGAAGGCGGAAAATGTGGGCGGAGAAGATGAAAGGAAATAGATGAAATGAGGCGATAGTGGAAAAAGTCAGCGTAAAAGACAATCGTTGTGGAAGCAACGCTGAACAAAATAAATACCAAATAATCAATCTCTTATAATGCAATTAATATATGCAAATTATATTTTTGCAATTATAGGCTTTTTTCTTCTAGGCTCATTATTTGTTGAATAAAATTTAGTTTTGAATTTATTTTTTGAAATGTAATCTCAAAACATAAATTTTACAGATCTCCTGATGAGAATAGCATATATGATTATCTGTTTCATGTAATTCTTAATCACTATGATATATTAATTGAAGCTTGGTCAAACTTCAATCGGATATATTTCCTGAAGTTTTGCAGTAAGCTGTAAAAATAATACAATATAGAAAATCTCGTCACTAATCAATAATTATACTTCGAGTAAAATACTTTATAATCTTGATATTCTAACGTAATGGTTTCCTGATAAATTCAACAACTTGAAATCATTACTCTTTTAGAAGAAGTTTAGTAAGAGAAGTATCAAGATTGTATCATATTGATAACATACTCTTCCATGAACTATCGGCCTGTACATGAGACAAACATTCCCCCTGCTTTTCTTATTATTAAAACAAAATGGCGATGATAGCTAAGTATAGTCTGATACAGAAGAAATAAATCTGTATAATTGTATACAACGCTTGAGTAATAAAATCCGAAACTAAAGTAAACTCAAGTTTGAATCATACTAGATAGAGGAAGAGAGAGAGTTTCAATCATACCAAATAATGGAAGAGAGAGAAGGAGATAATAAACTGTACAAATAAATGATTGCAAAGATCATATCTCTGATAAGCTTTAAGTTGGACATTATCAGCTGTTAATGATGAAGAAATTCATAAAATAACTTCAAATAATTTACACACACTATTCTCTTTCTCTCTTTTACTTTGATAAATTGAATTTATATTTGTAATTATTTTGATAAACTTTTATAATTATTTTAATAAGCTGAATTCATATTTTTTTGAAATCATCAAATGAAAAAATTTTACATTTTACTAATAAAACATAACAGTATTAACCTTATTCATTGTCAAATTAAAATAACATCCATCAACAATTAATTCAAACTTTTTAAAACGAATATCAAATCATCCATTCCGTTTAATTAACTAATCAACTGATTGGAATATAAATTTTTCCGGTTGGGAAACATGTAGTTAATTGATAATAACATTAACGAAATAATTAGCAGAATGAATAATAAAACTTTTCATGACATTGATTCCTTGCATGAGTCAGCATTAAGATAATGATTAATTCAAATCAATTATAAGAATTTTTATTGTTTTAAAATGATTTTTTTTTAAGGATAACTTCGATCTTTGTTTTTCTCAATCATTATCATATCAATTAACTGCCAGTTATTGTAAAATGCTAATTATTTGAGTTAAGAAACGGATTTATTGATATTTTCCGAATAATTTTCTCTTCAGTCGACTTTGTTTATTAATAGTATCACTATGTGATAAATGAAAAACGGATGATGGATTTGAATGGAATAAAAAATGATACGTTTCTCTTAATGTTTGATACGAAGTGATAATATATTTATTGTTGATAATTGTAATAATCTAGATAATTCTACTATTATTATCATTGTTATTTTTTATTATTATCATTACTACTAATATTACCATTACTATTACCATTGTTATTATTGTTATTAACAACGAAAATTTTGTGATGAATGTATAAAATATAACATTATAGTATAATTTTATAACATAATGATAACCTTAAAAGTATAGAAAATTATAATAAAAAAAGAAAAACAAAAAACAGTAAAAAAAGAAATGAATTAATTGATATAAAATAACAAATAATAGTAATTTAATCGGTCAAATCTTTCTTTAAATGTGAAAATACCAGTCGAATTTGAAGTGAAGTTTGTTCACATTCATGTTCATCACTGCAACAACATGCCATTTCACTTCTCTTTTGTGACTTTTTGCTATCCAAATTTAAATCAAAACATCCAAAGTTTTTACCCAATATTGGCAATGAATCGCAAAAAATTGAATTATCTGAAAATAACTAGGAAAAAACTATAATAAATATTAATTTTACAGTTTTAACTAATCTTTCATTCCTTTTTTTTTATCATTCATTTGATACTTTCCCTTGAATTATTAGTTCTATAAAGGTATAAGTTCTTTTTAATGAAAATTTTAGTTGAAAGGAAAAATTTTTAAGATCATAATTAAACTTAAGAACAATTAAAAATATTAGACTTAAGAACAATTAAAAAGATGCGCAATTTTCATTTTTCTATATGTCATTGAGAAAGATTGAAAGAATTGAAAATTATTTGTTATAAAATTTGATAATAAAAGATAGAAAAAAAATTATAAAATATTATTTACCAAATTTTATTGCCTTATGAGTTCTTTTGATTTTATATATTTCAATTTGTTTTGGAACACATTTTGTTTTCCTTCGAAAACTGCTTGTTCTCTCTGCAACAGAAATAATTATAATTAAAAAATGGAATATGAGTGATATGTTAAGAATATATGATTTCTCATTTACATATATAATTTTCGAAATGTCAAAAATAAATAATTTTCGACAAATGTCGAAAATTTTGCGTTATCAAATTAAATCTATCAATTTTTAATATTATTTTCATAGAAAAAATTAAAATTAAAATATTTGTTTAAATTCATATATATATGAACTTAAAGTATTTGTTTAAATTCATATATATATGAATTTAAACAAAAAAATATATATATGAATAAAATGTGAAAAAATATATATATGAATAAAATGAAATAATTAAACTAACTATCAAAGTAAATAGTTGCATAAAAAGGACCCGAAAGGCACCATAATTTTCCTGCTGTATTTAATGGATGAAGAATTAATTGATGCAACTGTAAAAATTTTCTCAATTTCATCATTTCTTATCATTTATAAAATTTAATCAATGAATCGAAATAAATCTGATCATTTCAGCTTCTTTCAAATCATTACGTACATTTTTTGATAATATAAAGAATATTGCAATGAATAATTATGCGATCAATATTAGACGTATTATGTACTGTTATAAATGATGTATTGATTCAAATATTTAGAGAAATTAAAATCATACAGTTTGACTATTCCTCTTCATCAATAATTTTGTTGCAATCGAAATCATATTTGGATATTTATTGCATGGTGATGAACTGAGATTGTAGGAACGACAAAAACAAATAGCACCGGTTTGATTATTGAAATTCCACAAGGATGTACAAAATTGTTCTTCCGTACCGGTCATAAAAATTATGCAGTCATTGAAATGAATTAAGTTTTGAATTGTATCTTGAAATGCTTGTAAACATTAAAATTTTTCAATTTTTTAATTAATTTTAAATGACAGAATTGATTGGAAATGAATTTCAGGCATAATTCAACATCATTTAATCATTAATTAGTTATTTCCTAAATGCGAATTTTTTTACTTCCTTATCTGTAAATGATCCATCATCCATTCAAATCTTTCGCAATAAGATTTGCGAATTCTAACATTGAAAGAATATTAATAACTTACAAGTTATACATTGAAAATGCAATATGATCGAAATGCTTCCCACTTTGCGCTGCCATCAGTCGTGTCACAGCGTCTGCTCTCACCTTTAATCGTACACCTAAATGAAAGTAATTATCAACTATTCCATTATTATTTTATAGTTCCGCAGGTACATTTAAGTTGTCCAATTTTCATTTATTTTTCCCATCATTTTCATATTTTATTAATGAAATAATTCAATTATTCGTAACATCTGATCATTAATCACATCTGATCACCGACCTGATATCGTGTCCCACATCATAAACACTTCTGTAAAGCAATAAGAAGTATGACGCACATATATCTCATTGCTTTCGTTCATTGACGCTTCCGTTGCTTCAAATTTTGCGCAATTTGTTAATAATTTCATTGGCTATAAATTCATTAACATTTAATTATTTCTTCACTGATTGAATTACTTTTTTGCTAATGTTGAAATGGTATGAGACAAAAAGATGTGACTGTTATAAGAATGATATGCTAATTAAGATGAATTAAATATAACGAACATATTCTTCTGATAGCTTTGCAATTTTTTTCTCTAAACTTTGATCGCAATGATTGCCTTCCTTTTGAAGAGTACAACCACATGCAAATATTTTCACAGGCATATAATTTGTATTAAAACTTTTCTTAAAGCAATTAACCGATCTTTTAATCGAAACTTCATTAATCTGCAAACAGATTATTTCTTTGGATTCATTTCATTGATTATTGTACTGATAATGACAGTGTAGTCACAAAATAGATGTGGGAATAGTCTAAACATTATCTGTTCCATTCATGGATCAATCATAAATACATTGTAAGCTAACAGGCCTCAATAATTTATATCACTAATATGGCCTCTATGGTAAAGATATCAAATAATATTTCAATCAGTTCTTGCTTACTTCCACTTCCACATAAGCACAATCGTCCTTCAGGTCAATATATGAAAAATCAGTCGGATAAAAACCATCTCCTAAACGAATTTTTAATCATCCTTTCCGTATTACTACTACAACTAACATATAATTTGCATGAGTACATCAAAAATAATTACACTATTACCTGGATATGAATGAAAAATTAATCCATTTTTGATACCATTTGTATTCATATCACTTGCCGTCTCATTATCGATATAATGCAACAAACATACGTCATTTGTTGTTTTCACATAATACTGATTGAATAGATACTGATAACGATCGTTATAAAAACATTTGTGACGAGTTTTATTTTCGTCGGCTAATTTGTTATGTATATCAGGCTGAAAATATTATGTGTGTATAATATCAGGTTAAAAATGTGTGACATTAGGGTAAAAATGTATGATGTTTAGTTTAAGTGCTTGATATAAGGATAAAGTGTGTGATATTAGGTTGAAATATATAATATTAAGTTAAAAGTGTGTGATATTAGGTTACAAGTAAATTATACAGGTTAAAAGTTGTCATCTAGAAGAGAATCGCTTAATGATTACAGCGAAAAAAATTAATTTAACGTTAGCTAAATGCCTATTATTTTCCATACTTTTAATTTCTTTTCTATAGCAATTTTAAATTTATAAAAATTAAAAAATTTTATAATTATAAAATAAAATTTAAATATGTCAGATTTGAAAGTGGAAACTTGCGTTATAGTTGCAGAAATTTTGATGATTACAACAACATTTGATATCACCTTTTTTGGTTGCATCAGAAGTTTCAATAGGACAGAAATTACTATAATCTGTAAAAGAATAATCGAAGTAATGATTATTGATTGTTAAATTTATATTTTCAAGTGCAAAATTTAGAATTTCCATTGCGTTGTGACGACGATAATTTCAACATTGTACATTTATGAATCTGTTCGGTGTGTTTGGTAATTAGATAGTTTTATAATCATTAAAAACTAGTGAAATTTGAAACATTTTAATATATCTGATAACATTTCATTCCTTTAATCATTCCTTTACACTATTAGCTAAACTATTTTGACAGCAAATAAATAGCTTACAGTAATTTTTTTATTAATTCTGTAAAAATTTTTATACATCTTCCATTACTGATAATTTACTTCATTAAATTGGATTTTTGTTACAAATTAGTGTGATAATAATTATTTAATTTTCAAATTAATCATATTTGCAAATTTACTAATTTTATCTTTTGCACCTGTTGGAATTTAAAATTTTGAAAAGCAATGTTCACTCACTTTTTGCTGAAAAACAATATGTTCTAATTATATGAGCAAGGCGAGGATCTAAAAGGCCTGTTTGTTCACATAAATCGTCGATTGGATATAATAGGGTGGCATTACTCATCATATGCATATAACAATACTACAAATTGATAATTATATTAAAATATTTCATCGAATTAAATAATTCTTTTTCTATGACATCTAATAATAACTTTATTTTGCTTAGTTTAATTTGATTTATTACTGTTACATAAAAAATTTCAACAATAATATCAAATTTACTTTTTTTTTACAATGAAATATTCTAAAAACTTCTTGCAATATAATAGAAAAATTGAAATTTCATTAAGGTATATTATCCCAAGCCAAGAAACTATTCAACCTAAGTTTATTGTTAATCCATGAAACTATACAAATAGAACAATCAATTACCTCATATTTATTCGATGTTCTAGCATTTATATCGCCTATGGTAGTTGAAAAACTCATATTGAATTTCATTTGTTCAGTCCTATAATAAATTCAGAAATTAATAAGTATCGTATCTTTTTGATAAATATATTTTTATTTTCAACAGTTCATTACAACATAGCATATTATAACATATTCATTATTCAGTATAAATGAGCAAGTAAATATTTGCATATTATTAAAACCAATAAGTTAAAATTGATGGTTTATTTAATTTTTGTTTAACTTAATTAATTAATTACCATTTTTCTTTTTCAATTCCATCCATACGATATTTTGAGAAGAAAAACAAAAATTCTTAATAAAATTTAACAATAGTAATGAATAATTTCATTCAATATGCTAAATTATCGAAGTAAATTTTTTTATAAAAATTAAAAATAAAATTGAATTACTTTTCCTTTGCAATTGGTACTTCTTTAGATGCACAAAATAAGTTTTCAGTCATTGAATTATCTTTTCGCAACAGAATCGCCGATGATTCTATAAATGAAATTAATGTTATTAAATAATTTTATAAAACGTTGACTACAGTATTTCATTACAATAAAAAAATAACTGAAATATAATTGAATGCTTTGCGACGATATCGCCAGCCTACTTTTGCATATATTTGTATATTGTCAAATTCTCAAGTAAAATAATCATCCAAACAGAAAGAATTGTGACATGCATAGATATGAATATTGTCTGAGCGCTAACAATTTATTTGATAGTTTAATATTCAATGATTAATTAGCATACTAACTGACAGGTGATAAATTAAAAAAATAGGCAAATGAATTCAAGGAAATTAATTTAATTTTTTACATTATCAAGTGATTATTAATGATAATTAAATAAGCTGAATATAAGTATAATAATCAAATATGCGGGTTTTTTTCGTTTTTATCAGTGAATTTTCCTTTTTATTACCTAAAATATCATTGATAAAAATGATAATGGATAAATTGAAAATGAAAGTGATTTGAACATACTCTGACATGGGACTGAGCTGCCACCCGAACAACAACAGAAATATTGAAAACCTTTTTGGAACAAATTGATTGTACATGATTCTTCAGGCTAAAAATTTTAATTTTAATTTATTAAGCATAATTTCTTCACATACAATTAATTTTCTTTAAAAAGCTTAAAAAGATTAAAATTTACATCATAAAGTGGATGGGGAAATGGAGATGTATATTTGAACAATATTTTCCTCCTTCTTTTTCCTTATATACTAAAAAAGTTTAAAACTAGAAATTGTTAAATTCAATTTTTAAAAAATCAAAGTTTTAAAAATTTAACTTTTTACATTGCTAGTGAATCATTTAATTTAGTAATAACTAAACAAGCTAAATATAAATATAATAATCAAATATCTGTGTTTTTTCTTTTGCTTTTGTCAGTGATTTCAAACGCAGTAACTTTTTTCAACAAAAAATCCTTGCAAAAATATATTTAAAAGAATTTAGTGTTTCAAAATTAACATTAGAATATGATGCATAATTCATTGTGCAACGTTCGCCTAGCAGATATTTGGTAACAGTGGAATTGTAATGTCCCATTTTTAGTATATCTTCAAACTTTGTTGAATATTGTTCACCAGCAAATGGATTAGCGAATTTTTGCTCGCCATAAGTAAAACAAACAGCATTATTTCCGGTTGCCGGTATCTGCAGAAAATATATTTTTAAGGCTAACTTCTCATTTGCGCTTTTAATGACAGAAACAAGTGGATATTCAGCAAAGGTATGCTACGCGCTATATAGCACTTAATCTATTCGTTGATTTGTGTTAAAATTATTTAAAAACAAAAACAAAAATTCTCATTTAATCATGCAAGTTCAAATTAATCAATTTGAAGCATTGATATTTCATATTTAACAATTTGTGTTTACTTTCACTGGAAAAAAATTATCTAAAAATAAAAATTGCTTATTTCAAAGCATTCATTATTTATGCAACTAAAATCACACTATTTTGTATGTTTTGTTTTAATTGATTAGCAAATATTAATTGACTAATTACTAATAGTGCAAAAATTATCCAAATGTTAGAATAGAATGGATTTTTGCTAAATTATCAGATACCATTCAGACTATTTTTTTAGAAGCAAACAGTTGAAATTAAAATTAAGCTTTTATTAATGACTAATTAATTGATGCTCTTTTCACAATGTCGCAGAAAGTTTTACTTTTAAAATGACTTACTTTTCGATAATCTTCCGTTAAACAAACGCCTGGCTGATTATAACCAACTTTTCGTCTTGTAATTTTATAACTTATCTGATGTTGAAAATTTTCAACCAATGCATAACGATGAAGAAGAAATTGCGATTTCAAGTGAATAAGCCAATCAATCATAGATTCATGATCACATTTATCGCAACAAGTTATAAACAGATCATTGTAACTATTATCCTTATTCTATAACTTTTTCAATTATCACATCATATCAAAAACTAAAGATAATCACTGTAAGATGATATAATTTATTGATTCAAATGTAGAGTAAAAATATATAAATATAATTGGAAAAAAATGATGAAAAAAAATTGATAATTAACAGCAGAAAAAATTAGTTTTTATTTAATATTTATTTCATAGTTATCTTTGTTGATAAATTGTGCAATGGAAATAGTTTAGTTTGGCATGATGAATGATAAGATAAATCTCATTTCAATGATGATTCCATTTGTTAAATGATTAAGAGCTCAAAATAAAGTGAAAGATGAAAAAAGACTTACCAAAATGACTACTTCCTGATATGGATCCTTGATTTTGAAGTTTGATACAGAGTTGCATAAATCTTTTCCGGCTTCATCCAAATATTCAGCTATTTTAGCATTTGTTTTTGGATCATTGAAATATAAATGATTGTCAAATCCATTCGTAAAATTGATGCCATAAATGCACATAATCGGAGATTTCCTAAAACGTTTTATCTTTGAAAAAGATATTGAAATGAACCTGTTGAAAAATTAATTATCAATTGTAGAAAATTGTAGAATTAATGATTAACAAAGAAGTATGCACTATTTGATATATTCTAAAGATTGGAGTAAATTATAAAGAAAATTAACCAATGAAGTGTTTTTGAAGTAAATTTTCACTTAAATAATTTATAATTGTAAAATGCAAAATTAATTTTTAAATTAAACTCAAAGAAGTATGCATTACTTGATATATTGTGTAGTCGAATTTGGTACAATACATTTCGTTTGCGTTTTATCATTTTGTTGGCTCTGAAAAAAGTCTATTCAAATACTTTTTTACGAGAACGAAAAAAAAGTAGAAATATTTGAATCGAAGCCAAAAATTAATTTCTACCACAATTCCACAATTCTGTCAATTAATTAAATTAGTTGTGAAAATTTCAACAAGAAGTTAAATTAATTTCTCATACAAAGATAATAGCATTCGTTACAGATGTAAAGATTAGAGTAAATTATAAAGAAAATTGACCAATGATCTGTTTTTGCAGTAAATTTTCATTCAAATAATTTATGATTAATTTTTAAATTAAATTTTTTCTCATCGTAAAATAGTATTATCGTAATTTATTCATATAATGCACCTAATAATGAATGGTATTTTCATTAATTACTGTTTAAATTTGAAAGAATAAGATTTCAATCATAATTTTGCATTTCTTCAATGCTTTCTGTTCGTTTTGCAAAAAATGCTGAAATTTTTTTCAACAATCTCACTACTTTAAATCCGATCAGATCTTTGCATAATAATTATTTCCTTATATTTTTATTTCATATCATTTCTTATTGTTCTCATAATCATTCCTTATTTGTTCGTAATTCAATTTGTAATAAAAATAAACAAAAATCTGAGAGCAAAAATTTAACTGTTTGATGTAATTAAACAAAAGAGAAAAATTTAAATTATCGATCATTACAAAAAGCTAACAGCTAGTTTTAGAAGAAGGGGCGAAAAAATTGCTAAATGAAATGACAGCCACATTGGAAATAAATTCAACCGCTTGTTTTGATGAAATTTTTATAATATGATATCCATCATTGAATTGAATATTATTTATAAATGCATAAAATTTCTTTTTTACAATCAATAATTTTCATTAGGAAAATTAAGTATGGAAACAATGGAATGATTTGATAATAAAAAAAATCGAAATTTAAAATAAAAATTTGCATTTCTCTTCGCAAGCTAAATTATTGAGAATAATTTTCTTAAAGATTTGATAATAAGTTACTGTGAAGTTTATAATGTTTGGAATTTAATATATCCATAATGTATTATTTAGTTTATTAATAAAACTTTACGAAAACTCGGCGATTTATCAAAAAACTTTCAACAGGATAAAATTCAGTGCTAATCAAAAAATGATTTCTGTTTCCATTCTAGTTTGTTGAATGAAATTTGCAGCACTATTATGTTAGAAACATTATATTGAAATATAGAAGGATAACAATGATGTTGAAATTTTCATAATTACTGAAATCTTAAAACTGATTTGATAAATTTTTAATTTCAAACTAATATTTAAGTTAAGTATTACAACATAATCCGAAACCAAAAAAAGGAAAGACTTACGTTAAATGCGTGACATTACGTGATCCACGATGGAGAAATAGCATTGCATTGATGGATAACGCGATAATGGATAACTCTGAATAATGAAACAAAAATTTAATCGTTCACTTCCGAAATTTTTTGCACTTTGTTTTAACTAATCATAAAAAGTCCTTTGTTTCCATTAATTATGGACTGATATCCATCAAAGTAACATATGTTGGATGATAATGGCACTGAAATTTTAGAAATTCGTTTAGGAAATGGTTTTTATTCGATTGATTTCTCATATATTTTTCTAAAAAATAATACTGATGCTTATGTGGAAGTGAAAGTATGTAAGAATTGATTGAAATATTATTTGACATCTTTATCATAGAGGCCATATTAATGATATAAATTATTGAGGCCTGTTAGCATATAATGAATTTATGATTGATCCATAAATGGAACAGATAATGTTAGGATATTTCTCACATCTATTTTGTAACTATTCTGTCATTATCAATGCGATAAAGCAATTCCGAGAAATAACGGTTAAAAAAACTTTTTTTGCAGATTTGTGGAAGCCTCAATTAAAAGATCAATTAATTGATTTCAAAAAATATTTCAATGTCAAGTGAGGGCTAAATAACAACGGAAATATTTGTGACACTTCGCTGGATTAATTCAATTTTAATCAACTTATGCCATAAATCATTAATTTTTAAGTAAAAAGAAGTTTAAGAAGTAAAATGATTAGTATTTCATATATTGCATCAATTTAAACAATAATATGAATTTAAATACATTTAATCGGAAATAGAAAAATTGAATTCGAATAAAATTTTTCAGTTTGAATGATTACATATGCATATCATTGAAATATTTCACCTTCTCTCCTCCATCCTTTCATTTTCCATTTCCTTTCACATTAGTTGTTATTTGGAAATAAAATTTCCTTCTCTTTCCAATTTCCATTTTTTCAGCTCTTCTTTTACTTCAGTTTTCATCATCGCTTATGCTTCCTCCCCCATATCTTGCACTTTGCTTTTTTATTGACAGTAAATTAAATCCCTCTTATACTTTCATTGAAATTACTAAATAAATATTAATATTAGAGTATGAGCAACTGTTAACTAAATCTATAGATGAATAAAATAGAAGTTTAAATTATTGCAATGAAAATTTTGTAATTTTCGATTATGAATATTTTTGTCGAATAAATTCATTCGTTATCTTTCTATTAATTCATTTCTTCTAATATCATTTTGCAGAGTTTTTGGTTCTTCTTTTTCTTTCTCTTTTATTTGATAAGATCATTTAATGATCGATTAATTGAAATGGAATAATTTGCAAAAAGCAAAAACTTCACTCATTTTATTTTAAATCAATAAAAGAGTGAGAGAAAGTGACAGATCATTCATTCATTCATTCATTATTAGTTTATGCATTCGTTATTTCTTTTCAATTTTTCTTCCTCTCAATTATTTTGCTATCATAAAGTTTTATTTTTTACAATGTTAATTAATATGAATTATTGATTTGTTATAAAACAATCAAATCTTTTATGATTATGAAAATAAGAAGATTATTAATTCTGTTTTTCCTTACTGTTTACGCATATTTCTTTTGCTATTCGAAAATATGAAATAATTAGAATAAATTTTCCATCTTAAAGGTAAATATTATCACCTGATTTTATACTTTACAATTACTATAAAAATTAAATGATTGTTTAGCGGAGGATGAACGATAACGTTATTTTATTTATTGCCTATCACCTTTTATCATTAATACCACAGGTGCAACTACCATCATTGCCAGTAACGAGTAAAATTTAATTAAGATTAGAGTGAATAAATTTCATTAACTTTTAGACTTGTTGAATGAATTTTTAATTTGCACTTTTTAAAATTAGATTTAATTTGCATCTTTTTTAATTTAATTTAATTTTTTACTTTTTAATTTACAAATCTTTTAATTTACAAAAGATGGCGCAATTTTCGACTTCGCACTTCTAGCCAATTCATTTTGATGAGAAATTTTAGGAAAGTTAGAATAAATATGAAATGATACTGAGCGGTAATGTCCAAACAAGCGCTAGGCGGAAAACAATGAATGTTTTATTGGCATTGAAGTGAAGGATAGGCAAAGATAAAAGCATTCCCTTAAGAATTTTTCAATGAAAAATGATAAATTTGTTAATTTTTAGTGTCTTAATGATTTATTATTTGTAAAAATGATAAATTTGTTTGGAAGATAAAATAAGATGAAAAATAAGAAATTAAATTAATATTAAAAATAAAAAAATAATAGTTATAATAATTTTGCAAAAATGGTATAATTATATTTTTCATTTAATACTAATTAAATTAAGTATGAAAAAATTATTTGATCAATTGGAGTAAAGCGAGAGAGAGAGAGAAACCTCAAAATTCAATGAAATGTTAAAGATAATTGATAAATAATAATGTGAAATATCAAACGACTGATATAATCCACTTCAGTAATTAATTACTCGCAAATTAGATCATTAATATACCAATAATATTTTTAGAACAAATAGATTTTATTTCATTCATAACTTCACCTTCTTTAGGCATAGGAAAAAATTAAAAGTTTGAATAATACATAATGTTATAACAATTTTTACATAAAATGAATGCTATAATTTTCTTTATTTATTCAATTTGTTTTAAAAATGAAATTTCCAAAAAGGCATTACAACAAGAAAGAATTTTTGTTGATTTCTTATTTAACTAAAAAAGCGATTATTCGTTGATTCGTTGAAAATGAAAAAGAAATGCAATTTGCTATGGCACTCTTTTTCTGCCCACTCATGTAGAAAAGAGTTGAAAAAATAGCGGAAAAGGAACTCTCCACCAATATTTCAATTATTCTTTCAGGCCTGTAACACTACGAAATGGTAGCTAAGCCTACGCTTACTTGTTTATATCTATTTTTTAGCCTATTGCTGTGATTTTTATTTTTGCTGACGTACGAAACATATGTTAACCCACACCGGTGAAAAGCCACACGGTTGTTCCGTATGCGAGAAAAGGTTTTCTCGAAAAAGTGATTTGAATAGGCACATGAAAAGTTATCACAAAAAGAGTTTCCCTTCTGATTGGACTGCATGCAATTAAAGCAAATCACTTTGAAATTACATATGAAGAAGTTTGAGAAAAGAAACAGTGAAATGCATTTGAACTGAAATATATGCTGATATTTCTGGTACTGTAGAGGCTTCTGTATTTCATTAATTGAATTATTGCAATTTAATCATTCATCCTTAATTTTTATTATACCTTTTTTCGTCATTACTATTACTGTCATCCTTACCTATAAGTTTTTTCATTTTATATTTGACATGCAAAATAAGCATTGTTTT